AGGAGGTTTACGAGAAGATCACTCAGCACATGTGGCTGAAGACCGTTATTGAGCGTTTGCAGGTAATGACCCCCCCACCCCCACCCCGTCCAGCCGCCTGCCCCTCCGCCCAGCTGGGGTGTTCTTGTGGGGTCTCTTGCAGGGCCGGGGGGGCTGTGGGGTCTGTGGGCAAGGCCGGGGGGGAATGGGGGGATCTCAGTGGGGGAGCTGCAGGGTCTCTGAGCAGGGCTGGGGGGCTGCGGTGTCTTGGAGCGGGGGTGGGCTGTGGGGTCTCTGGCCGGGGGTGTGGGGGCTGCGCAGTCTCTGGCCGGGGGGGTGACGTGCCCTCTCTGCCTGGCAGGAGGTGGGCGGCCGAGCGGTGCAGACGCAGGTGGATCTGGGCTATAACTTCTTTGTCAACGCGGACGTGTGAGTGGCAGGGCCCTCGGGACCCCCCCCCCCTTGACCCTGCCCCCCCCCCCCCTGCCCCCCGGGCCCCCCCCCCCCCCCCCTCTGGGTCCCTCCCCCCCACCCCCCACCCCAACCTCACCCCCGGGACCCCCTCCTCCTCCGATTCCACCCCACGTGAACCCCTGATGTCCCCTTACCCCAGTTCACTGATTGTGGCCCCTTTGTAACTCCTATATCCCCTGACACCTGGAGCCCCCCTATGCCCTCCCCACTAATTCCACCCCCTGAGCCTTCCCCCGGGACTCCCCCTTGGAACTCCCCCAGGACCCCACATATATCCTCACACCCCCTCCCTGCCCCCTGGGCCCCCCTCGCATCCCCCGACCCTCTAATTCCCACCCCCAGAGCGTCACCCCTACACCCCAGCATCTGATCCTGCTCCCCCAACCCCCGCAGAACCCTCCTGCTCCCCTCAGGTCCCCTAAACTTCCCCCCAGACCCCACCAGGTGCTCTCTTCAGCTCCCTGCTCTCCCACACTGCTGCCCCCCAGGTACTCGGTGTGGCCGGGGCCCCCACCCCCTCCACCGCATGACCCCCTCGAAATCTCCTCGTCTCGCAGGCCTGACACCTCCAGGATCTTCGTAGCGCTCGGCTACGGGTTCTTCGCGGAGCTGACGCTGACGGAGGCGCTGCGCTTCGTGGAGAGGAAAACCAAGTTACTGATCGAGTGAGTGGGGGAGACGATCCCCCGCCCCGCAACCTCCCTCCGTGGGGCTGGTCCCCAGCCACCCCTCCCCAGAGCCGGGCAAGCCATCCTCCTGCGGCGTTATATGCAGCTGTTCCCCAGCTTGTCCCCACCCTAGAGGCAGCTGCATTCTGACACTGGGAGCTAACGAGGGCACAGGCCAGAATTCCTTGGGTCTGTGCGGGACACAGCAAAATGGTGGCCCCACCTCAGTCACGGTCCATGCAGGGCGAAAGGGGACCCCAGAATGTGCAGGGCCCCCCCATCTCCTAACACTGCCCCATCGGGCATCTCTCTTTTGCAGGCTCAGCGAATCCCTCACCAAGGACTCCGCCAAAATCAAGGCCAATATCCGGATGGTCTTGGAGGTAATG